CCCCCGAGCCCCGCACAAAAACCCGCGGCGTGTCCCGCGCGGCCGTCCCCGCTTACCTAGCACCGTCAGCCGCGTGCCTGGGCCGAAGTGCTGAGTGTTTTGGCCCACAGCCCCGGGGCACGACACAAAAACAGGACCCTGCCGCCCCTGGCGTCCCCACTGCCGTTCCCGGTCCCCCGGGCGTCCCCGCTTACCTAGCACCGTCAGCCGGGTGCCCGAGCCGAAATACTGCCGATCTGTGCTCACAGCACCGAGGCCCGGGACAAAAACTCTGCTGCTGCCCCGGACTCGGCCAGGTCCCCAGCCACCCTGGACGCTCCATCGCTCCTCCCGCGCCCCGAACCCGGGGTCTCCGGCCCAGGTGCCGCCCGCCTCTGAGCACAGCCCCGAACGGAGCTGGGCAGCTGCCCCCTTTTTCCATCCCGCCCCATGATGGGCTCCCAGATCCCCAGCTGCCCCCCACTTACCCAGCACGGTCAGCTTGGAACCCGCCCCAAAGTGCAGCTGTCCGGTGTTCACACAGCTCTGGGGGCCCAGGCGCAAACCCCGTCTTCCCCGAAAATGGGCCCGGGGGTCCAGCGCCCACTCCCCGAAGACCAGGGTTCACGGGGTCACCCAGGCTGAGCAGCCCACCCCACCCCACCTCCCACCTGGAGGGGCAGGCTCACCTAGCACGGTGAGCCTGGTGCCTGGCCCAAAGTGCTGCTCTTGGAGGAGCACTGTGGGAAGGGGCTGCCAAGAATTCCTTCCCCACCGCCCCTGGCACGGTCCCTTGGCTACCCTCCTTTTCCTTCCTGGCACCTCTTGTCACCTCCAAAACTAGCTGTACATGGTAATGTGGACTCGGCGTGAAGTCATCTCCCCCATTCGCAGTGGAGATCAGCTTGGCCTGGGGGATGATACAGTGGCCGGTGAAATCAGAAGGGGCATTTGGGGTGGGGGCTGCATTTGGGAAGTGTTCCAGGCTAGACTCTGCCCCATGCTGTAACCTCCCTGGCCTTAGCTTCTTCCTCTGAAAACCGGTGTAATGGCTTTCCCACAGGGTGGTTGTGTGTTCTCAATGAATATCGCATATGCAAGAGCTTTGCCAAAGGGCAGGTTTATGAGACGTGTTGAGTGACCATCCCACTTTGCTGCCTTGGCCCTTGACATTCTGGAAGTTGAGTCTGGAGCAGGGAGATGCAGAGGTGTTCACTGAGTCTGGGGCTCTGCAAGACCTCGTAGGGGACCAGCCCCAGAGACCTCTCCCAGCCCCTCTCCCAGATCCGGGGAGCTGCGTGCATTCTCTGGGCTGAGTGGGGGTATTTTCCGAGGCAGGGCTTTTTGTAAAAGCACCTCCTCTACTTGAATCATCGTGGCCCCCCCAGTTGCCACAATGCTACATCACGATACAAAAATGTTTCCTCCCCTCTGGTCCCCCTTCCCCAACCACTGGGCAGCGGCGGGAAGCACAGGTGGCAGAGGTTGGTCTGATCCAGTGGGGCTGGGGAAACACCCACTCGGAGCACAGTTAGAGGGGGGCGGGGTTGGGGTGGTGGGAGAGGGCAGAGAGGCCCCTCCCTGGAACACGCACACTCGGAGGAGATCTTCTATGTCACCGGGTCTCCCCTCTGGGACTCACCGTGCCCACCTGCGCAGACTGGCATTTATAGTGAGGCGGTGAGGGAGGAGCAAGGGGTGGGATCCAGAGAGCAGGTGATGGCAACTTGTGGCACCAGGACAGACAGCCTGGAAACCTCTACGATCCCTTTGCCTCCTGATCAAAGTCCAAGCTCCTTATCCTTCATTTAGTCCACATACTTAATGAACATGTACTGTGTGGCAGGTCTCCCGCTGGTTGCAAGGACACCAGACCATCTTCACAGGGACATATACCAACTTGCCTTGTCAGCCTTAGTTTCATGACTCCTGTCTCTGAACCTTGCACCCAGCTACACGGAAGTACCCAGCAGTACCCCCCGCCTGTCGTTCTGGCTTTTCTTCATGCCTCTGACTTGTCATGACCACTCTCCAACGTGCATAATTGACATCAAGTCTTCCTTTGAAGAGTAGGCCACCTTCTCAGGCTCTCTCGCGATGCTTCCAGGGAGGGATCGAGGGCTAGGCTCTGACTGCCTTTTAAGAGACAGCTCGCATTGCTATTTCAAAGCATCACCTTATATTTCAGCTGTTTCTATCCATGCCTCATCCCCCTTATGCATAGGTAAGCGTCTCGGGGACTGTGACTTGGGTACCTTTATTTTCTTGAAATTTAAAGCAAAACATTACAATACGTGCGCTCGACGAGTGAGTACGCATGCGTATATGTAAATGCGTATATAAGTATGCACATCTATGTGTATATATAGGCACACACAGGTGTTTCGTTAGAGCGGGAAGGCTGTGTGCTGCAGTCTTGCAGGAGGCAGGGGAGATGGCTATTTCAAGCAAACCTTATGGTCATATCTGCTCCCGAATTGTGTCACTTTCAGTTCACTCATTCATTCATTCACTTATTCAAAGATGACTTATTGGGTCCCTACCCTGAACCAAGGTACAACACCATATCCCAAGGATATTATAATAGAACATACTGAGGAGCTGACAGTCAAGTGGCAGTATCAGACAGGTGAAGATGTAGTTCCCGTCAGGTGTGGCAAGTATGAAAGAGGTGTGCACAGGACACTATAATAGCAAAATATAGGGTGCACTTAACCCAGCCTCAGGGGGGTGAGGGGCAAGGGAACTTCAGAGAAGGTTTCTTGCAGGGAAAAGAATCAGCGCCAAACCTTTAAGGATCAGTAGGAGTCAGAGTACTAGATTTTTCCAGGTGGAGGGGGGCACAATGGCCTGGAAGTAAGTAGCTTAGGGGGTTCCGGAGGAGACGAGGGAGGTGAGAGTGGAATAAGGGGGTGGAAGACAATTGTGGGTCTGACGTGCCATCTGAAGGACTTTGGACTGCATCACCGTGGTGACGATGGGACAATAGAGAGCTTTTAAAGGATTTCTAGAAATTGCGATAGGGCTGATCCTTGCTTTTAGGGAAACTTCATTTTCTATTCTCCCAAGAGTGACCAGGGGACATTTGCACACCCACTAATTACTAGAGAGAAGTTGATAGGCAGATTTGTAATTTAAATTGGAAGACATCTCCGCCGAGGATAAATGTCCAAATCAGTGCATTCTCTTCTCAGCTAAGAAACCGAGCTGGTGACGAGTGGAGATGTGCAGTGTACTCATCGAGACAGCAGAAAGGAGCCGATAGATCTAAACCCAGGCTTCGTTAGCCAGGGGGACACGACCACGGGGTGGGTGGGCACACCTGTTCTTCCTCAGAGCCCCTCCGTCCAGGTAGGACAGAGAATTCCAAAGGTCGACATCACCATTTTCCGAGGCTGTTCCGGAGTAAACCTCCTCACACCCCATCACCACCTTTCACGTTTACTTAAGTTTCTCTGAAAAGGTAGAGCGGTGCCAGCCACAGGCAGGGGCCCTGGGTCCCTGAGGGGACTGTACTTCCCTCGAATACCTCTTGTTTCCAGCCTAATTGGAGTCAGTGGGAGTTCAGAAGTGGTACTCAGAAGAGATACGTAGACACAGGACACAAGAGATCAAGCCAGAACAGGCCATTTTTATTGGTTCAGTCAATTTTGGCACACCAGGGTTCCCTTTGGGTTAGGGGGGTTTCGGTCATGAGTGTCCAGCTGAACAAGCACATAGCGGGTAGGTACGGGGGCTGCGTAGAGAGATGAGAACAGCTCTTCAGAAGCGCTTGCTCGGAATGGAAAAAGGAGAACCCATCTTGGGGCCACAACCTCCAGGCTTCAGGGGTCCTTTCTCTTGACCTGAAGAAGAGAAGGTGCTGGAGTCACCGGGAATGGTGGGGGCCGAAGGGAAGCAGGACGGCCCACTGACTAGATGAATAAGGCTCCTCACAACCTCCCTTGGGGTTCAGGTGACCCCAGCTTCTCCTCCCCTCCTAGCTCTTTCACTGCAGTCCCAGAGGTACGAGGCGTCTGCTGAGGCATGTAGGCGAACCCCTTCTTTCTCTCTGCCCTCCTCTGGTCCTGGCAGGGTCTGTCTGCTCCTGGCTCCACGTTTCTGTGTTTCAAGTATCACCTCCAACCCGCCTGCCTGTCCTGCCGGCCTCCTTACCATGGCCATCAGCACCAGGGCGCTGACCAGCACCGCGTACAGCGTGGCCTTCCCCAGCAGGATCTCATACAGGATGGTGGCAGACAGGAGCCCTTGCTGGTAGGACTCTGTTGATGGGAAGGGAGAGAACGTACATATGTACCTGGGAGCAGGAATCTCTGGCTCCCAACCCCCACCCCGCCCCCGTCCCAGGTCCATGGGTTCTCCCTTCTCTGGTTCCAGAGCCAAGACCACGGGAGATGCAGAGAGAGAAGGAGAGGCCACTCACTCGCGGTGAAGCCACAATCTGAAAGAAAAAAGGGGAGGGAAACGGATGAGCAGATGACGAACAAAGTCAGCCTTGTAGGCGGCACAGACGTCAGGCCCAGACTCGAAGAGACCCAGCACTGGCTTCCTTCTGCTGTGTCAAAGTAGCCACATGGTCCCTGAAATTCACGGGCCAGGGCGGCATGAAGCGGGCGGGGCCACACCACGCAGGCGCAGGGCCGCCCAGGCCAGTGGTCAGGGGCCCA